CAGAACAACAGCACTGCAGAGAGAAGGAAAACTTGACACAAGCCCTATACCAATCCGTCTGGCCAGCGTGGTATAGTAGGCCAAAACCTCCTTTCTAAGAAGATTCCTATGCCCAGCAGTGGACTATTAAAGGCTGTTGATGATGATGCACTTAGAAATGTGAATTCTGGAATTTTAAATGATCAGCGGAAAAGAGGAGGAGATACTTTTTAAATACTTGCAATATCGAGTGCAGTCCCAACATACAAAATTACGAAGGTTTCCTTAATAGAGTTAGTAAAGTTGGTTTTCATAGATTTACTCAATAATGGATAGAATATTTCCAAATAAAAACATGTTGGATTTAAGATCTTTAATGTAATACTTTCCCGTGAATTCACTGAGGTGTTAATTTCAATTTCCAAAGGGAATCCTTAGAAATTTTCTGTTTAAATAATCTCCAGCAAATAATTTACAAAAGAAATTGCTCCAAAAATCACTGACTTTTTCCCATCATCTTCTTATGAACAGAAATCAGTTCATTAAGTAAATATAAACCTAATCGAGTCACACAGATTTATCCTTCAGTGATTCCGAGTAACATTGATTGCATCACGTCACGCGTAACTTGAACAAAGACTCACAAATTCTCACAAAGAAACAAAAATCATGAAGTTCCATCTTTCATGTTTTGATCACAAGTTTCCCCTTTTGTGAATTAATGTGAAATCAATGTGTATCCCTTTGTCGATCAGCAGCGAGTTTGTGTTGAATAATCAAAGTGACGAGATGTTCTTTATGCCACAATAAAGCGTACTGTCAAATATCGTTTAAAGATTATCGGATCGACGTAATAATCGTTTGGTTTTGTTGAAAATTTAATACACACTTTGCAATATACTCAATTTTTTATAATATCCCGGGACATATTACCATCTAAATCTAGGTTCAAATAAAACAGAGCTTATATAATGGATTCTAGAATAGGGATAGGCTTATATACATAGAAAGATCTACACCAGGGATTCCCAAAGTAGTCGATATCGACCCCTTGGAGTCGAAATCGGTTTTCCAGGAGTTGACATAAACGAAAACTGATATTATGGGTCTAAAAATCGACCCCTATTAATTAACTCAAGTTCTTATATGAAACTTTCAAGCTACTGTAACATTTATAAAGTTTTTCATTTTATAAGTATTTTGTATCAATAGGAAAAATATAGAGATGGAATTTTAAAGTAATTGGACTCTTACCTCTCTTATCCCTGATCTACACCAAGGTCAATAGACAAACTCATGCATACAAATATTTGTACTGAGGGAGTCAGTGGATCCAGCCAATATCCTTCATACACAGGGCCGAGGAGTATATAATAGGAGTCCTATTTCCCCATTCGAGACTTGAGGTGTTCCTTATTCTATCTAACCTTACTCTATCCATTTTTCTTACTCCAGTTCAAGCTGCTTGATTCATCCTCAAAACGATTACATCCTTGTTGTCAAGGAAGAGGTCGGCTACAAAAAAAGCTACCTAAACCACTTACAATGTTACACCTCACGCTGATCTTTAATAAAATTGCAACGATATTAGAAATATCATAATGCTGATGATGGCGAACAGAAGTCGAAGCTGTGATTCCAGTCAGTCACATATATGAAGCGTCACAAAGACTTTGATTATTTGTTTCGGTTTCAGTGTGAAATAATGTTCTCATGGCTACGATACTGGTGTCCAACGTTATGTATTCGTTCACCAATTATGTATCGAAGAAATACTGCGAAGTCCCTAAAAACTTAAAGTAAAGAAGTTTACGATTTACGCATTTTTAATTGTAAAAACTACGTGTCTTATTAAATTTAATTTTAAATTTTCTGATATCAAAGAAATTCTATCTTTTGAATTACGAAGGTTTTCATTAAATAGATTATTGATTCACTATTCACTTTAAAGGAAAGTACAGTTTTAATTGTAAAGACCCGAGATTAATTCTCAATGGATTGAAAACTCTTTAAATCAAAGAGTTACCTTCAAAAGTTTCGCTGACCCGTGATAAGTCTACCGTTGGTTTCGTTAGTAGCTGTATACATTTTATAATGAACTTGGAAAGTCGGATTATTCAACTTCAAAATATAGCTTAGTTTCTTAGTCGTTGAGTAATAACTAATATATACGAACAGTATGATAGTATGAAGTAGAAGCCTGGAAAATATTTATTTATTACATAAAGGCCAATGAGCAGACGGGTCACCTGATGTTAAAATATTACTGCTGGACAACTAGAAGTCAAGAGTGCACGGATGGCGTAGTGGTTTAAGCGGTCGCCACGCCGCATGGTACTACGCGGAGTGTTGTGGGTTCAAACCCCACATGGGACGACACTTTGTGTGATCCACTAATTGTTGTTCTGAGTCTGGGTGTTCTTTGTGTCCGTTTCATGTATGTTTGTAAAGTCCCCCGCGACACAGGATATATTCCTAATGCGGGAGTTGTCTATTTAAAACGAAAAAAGAAAAAAATATATATATATATGCCGAAGTACGGCTCTCCAATGGTTAATGACGTAGTAATAATCATATAGTCCGTGTGGTGACGGATTAAGAATACGGATTATCTCCCGGATACGGATTTACCCTGTGCGTGTCGTTAGAGCCAACTAAAGGAGCAAACTTTATGTTAGTGAAGGTTTAGAGTAGGTAGTGCGGCTATTATTTTAGGGCGCAACATCTAACACTTAATATTAACATTCTAAGCTGGTAAAAGCATGAACTTTCTGAATGTACATAAGTTTAGTGTATTCAAGAAGCAACTCGTTCTTAAAGAAAGCTGCGTGAATAAAACTAAGCTTTTGCGAATACTATTTCAAAAGTTTTATCGAGAGCAATGAATATAATAATATTATTTTGCTGTAACTATTTCCCGATGTGTTAAGAGTAATTTAAGTTTAATTTCCCTCACAAAACAGTCATAACCATCAACAGCCTTTAATAGTCCACTGCTCGACATCTTAGAAAGGAGGGTTTGGCCCCCCCTATCACGATGGCCAGACGGGTATGTGCCAAGTTCTCCTTCTCCTTATAGTGCTGTTGTCCTGCGTAGTTTGCTGCCTTAGTCGGCTCTTACGACACCCACGGGATGAATAGGGGTGGTGACACTCTGTATTCTTAAAATAGGACTAAAATAATATCGTCATAGTCGTAGAATAGTTTCGAATCTGACATTTCTGTCATTCATTGAATTTTACATTTCAAATCATTCAAATTATATTATTTTTTTGACAAGACTTTTTTAATTCTAAATTTGTAATTATGACATTGGCATACAAGTGTACAACCTCCTTTCTAAGGAGAGGCTTATGTCCAGCAGTGGACTATTAAAGGCTGTTGATGATGATGATGATGATGATGATGATGATGATACAAGTGAAAAATAGTGTTTGTTTTAAAATGCAATAAAAATAACAACTAATAATTATACAATTTTCTAGATAAATCACATACTTCATTTTACTTTGAGCGCCCATCAAACAAACACAGAATAATTTAAAATCGAAAATACATTAAAAAAATAAACTTGAATGTAGTAATAATATTTGGACAATATGGTATCAAAATATAATAAAAACTGAATTTTGTATTTTTTTCAAAATCAACATTATTCTACGATGATGACGATATTATTACAATTAGGTATGTAATTCTCAGTATTTTGTTATTCCTCACTTGAGTTTAAAGTTAACCAGTCATTATTTACTTCGTTGCGGGTACTTCTAACGTTTATAATCTCTCGGGAATAATAAAGTATTGTTTCGGTGACCTTAGATAATACTTATCTTCTGCACACAATTAGCCATACACAGTCAAGTGTACACAATTTTATTGCCAACATAAAAGTGATGTTCTCGAAATAATAATGTGTGTGTAGCAGCGTAACGACTTAAAATTTAATGTATTGATAACAATTTATATTTAATATAAATATACAGCGTTACAGTGTTACGAAAAAAGTGTAAATAACATCATACGAAAAGACAAGAATCAACAAGTTAACATCGAAGTTTCACATACGTCACTTCATCATCATCATTAACCAGCCCCCTTTTAATGGAGTCGTGGGTTTAATTGGGGCTTTGATTGATTTTTTAAGGTATGGACCTCAAAAAGAACAAACGAAACCCTTATAGGATTACTTTGTTGTCCGTTTGTCCGTCTGTCTGGGAAGACCCTTTATTTCGGGAACGCGTGGAGGTATCGAGTTGAAATTAAAACGATATACTTAGGTCTACAGTATCTTGAAGCTGTGAAAAAATCAAACTTCTAAGTTTACGTACGAGTTAACCGTGTCATGTGGGGTATCGTATGAAAGGGCCTTAATGAATTAAAGCTTGTGCAAGCTTAAATAGATTTTTAATTGTTTTCGATTACAAATTTGTACGGAACCCTCGATTGCTGTGTGGTCGAATATCGACCGTTTTGTTTAATTTTATTTTCGGTATAACTTAAATGGTCATTGTGTTTACTTTTGTACCATTCATCAACAACCTTTAATAGTCCACTGCTGGACATAAGCCTCTCCTTAGAAAGGAGGTTTTGGCCTACTATACCACGCTAGCCAGACGGGTTGGTATAGGGTTTGTGTCAAGTTTTCCTTCTCTCTGCAGTGCTGTTGTCCTGCGTAGTCTGCTCCCTTAGCCGGCTCTTACGACACCCACGGGATGAATAGGGGTGGTGACACTCCGTATTCTTAATCCGTCACCACACGGATCCGTCCGTCCGTTGTACCATTACAGGTCAAAAAATATACTGCACATAGTTCTATGCAGCCGTTTTTACAAATTTTTTTAGTACACAGTAAAGCTTTTTGAATTCAAAAATTAAGTATTCCATTTGCGAAAGCATTTTTTCGTACGCCATATTTGTTTTAAAAACATAGATTTTTCATGTTTGAATATAGAGATATCGTATTTCCTTGTTCTAGGGAAGCTGGCAAGTGCAGCAACTGTTTGATGGGGCGGTGACGCAGCATGCGCCGCGTGCCTCTCGCCGCGCTGTTGCGGCTTTTACTCATCGCAGGTATGCTTTTGTTGTTCATAATATTATAATAATAACCTCACACATCTCACACACGGCCGTTTGATCCCAAACTAGGCAGACCCTGTGCTATGGTAACTAGACTGCTGGTAAACATACTTATATACCTCTAAATACATATATATATTTTAGTAAATTTACAGCCAGACAGAAAAAATGATCGTGCGCATCACACAATTATTTGTCCTGAGTGGGAATCGAACTCACGACCATAGGCTTAGCAGTCAGGGTCACAGAGGCTAAAAGCATAGGAGGCCAGCCTTTACAAGTGATTTTTTTTAAGTCGTGCAAATCACTTAGAAGATTAAAGAATTAGCCAGTTTCGATCTGTTAATGTTAAAGATTCTAACTAATTTTGAAACTGATGACTTTTATTTAATACAATTGTATTCATGGAAGAAAATATTGCATTTTATATAAAAAACGAAAGTAAATCTGTTAGAGTACTAAGTTTACTCCAAGGACCGATTTAGCTAAAGATAATTTCATCATGAAAATCTCAATAAAAATGTAACGTTCTCTTTAACAGTACTCTTATCACATGTTTTTACTTCATAAAATATATCGTATTGAAATGGATGCTTTGCGAAATGGAATAAGTAAGAAAATAAATATGGAAAGAGCTCGCACTTTCGCAGGTACTAGATTACATAAAAGAATATAACGGATTTTGAATTTACTTTTATTTTATAGCAGTATAAATATTGCCTATAATATTCACATCAACAGCGTTTAATAGTCCACTGCTGGCTATAGGCCTCTCCTTAGAGAAGAGGTTTTGGCCTACTATACTTGATGGGCCTGTTGGTCTAGTGGTTGGTGACCCTGACTGCTAAGCCAGAGGTCGAGGGTTCGATTTTCACCCTGGACAAATATTGTGTGATGAGCACTGTCATTTGTTCTGTGTCTGGGTGTGATTTTTTATCAAGTTTTCCTTCTTTTTGCAGTGCTGGTGTCCTGCGTTGTTTTGCGGCCTTAGTCGGGTCTTACGACACCCACGGGATGAATTGGGGTAGTGACATTCCGTATTTTTAATTCCTCACTACACAGACAATATTAAATATTTTTATTAGAAGGGAATAAAATTGGGTGGTATTCGTGTTTATTCAAGAAAAACGGTTTTAAAAAGTGAAACATTCTACCAGGGTCTGGAGGTAAAAAAATAATTAACGTTACTAGTGGCAAGTTAAGTTGACACCTGAAATCATCGGTATAATACCATTTATCTTTATTCTAAATAACCCAAATTACATTTAGCTCTTATCTCGACTACCTGTTATAACAAGCCTATCATTCGATGGAAAATAAATTTAACAAGAGATTGTTGTTTTTTTTGGAAAATCCTTTAAAAAATATTAATTTGGAGGTAAAACGTTGACAATTATTAACCCGCCCCGGCTCCGCACGAGTGTAATTTAGGCCTACGTAAGCCGTTTAAATTTGTTTTTCGGTGACTTGATTGTTTGGTTTTATTGTACAACTCACATTATAATAATATATAATAATATAATAATTTCACACATCTCACACACGGCCGTCTGATCCCAAACTAGGCAGAGCCTGTACTATGGTAATCAGACTGCTGATAAACATACTTATATATTTCTAAATACATACATAATATAGATAGATTACACCCAGACATAGAACAAATAATCGTGCTCATCACACAATTATTTGTCCTGGGTGGGAATCGAACCCACGACCTCCGGCTTAGCAGTCAGGGTCACTAACCACTAGACCAACAGGCCCGTCAACATTAGTCATCATCAACAGCCTTTAATAGTCCACTGCAGGCCTCTCCTTAGAAAGGAGGTTTTGCCCTATTATACCACGCTGGTCAAACGAGTTGACATAGGGTTTGTGTCAAGTTTTCCTTTTTTTTGCACTGCTGTTTTTGTCCTGCGTTGTTTTGCGCCCATAGTCGGCTCTTACGACAATAAGGGTAGTAACACTCTTTATTCTGAATCTGCATAAGTAATTTAAACGATACCAAAAAATATTGGTATCTTTTTAGTTTCCTACGACTATCTTAACAAGTAGGTTTATTGGTCCATCGATCGTACCAAGCTGTACTAGTTGTCTCAGGACAAATTAATGTGTCTGTCCCTCCCCGTAGGGCGTAGTCGGCCTTGATAACCTATTTGTGTGAACAAAGAAATTCGTTAGTAAACTGGTTTAAGAAGGTAAAAGAATAATTAACGTTACTAATGGCAATTAGTTTCCACTTAATTCACTTTACGATACTAAAAGACGGCATGGTAATAATAAAATCTATTTTTTTTAGAAACTAAAGTAATCAAATGAATCAAACTGTAAATGAATAAGTAATATATAAGACTGTGCATCGGCAAATATTCACATTTTGTTAAGGATTTCACGAATCTGGGTCTGTGTCAATTTGAATTGTAATTTTGAGAATTTCTAAAAAACTTAAAAGGATTTTTGCCCCGAAAGATCAGGTACCCTTTGACCCTCGACTAAATAAACCTATGGTCGATTCGATTACTCTGAAAAAATATTAGAAAATATTATTAGGTTTGTCTGACGTTATTTTACCATCTCCTGATATGTTTTTCCACGTATAACCACTTTGAAGACTCAACATTTGTAGTAAAGAAGCCTTGAAGTATTGAAAATTCATCATTTGTGATAGCAGATTTGAAAGACGGCAAAAAGTAAATATCTCATATGTGCACATTAAACATGGTACAAAATAGTTTGACCTCTCAAATTCCAGAGATATTTTTTCTTCTTCGTAATATACGCTAAAACCGTTTATCAAAGGCCGACTTGAGGCGGCCATCTAAAAAAGGCAGCACGACATCAAAGGTTTTTCATTTTCTGAGCTAGACCAAGATTTGCATATCCATTGCAGTTGCTTTTTACACTTTGCTACTTTTTAAAAGCGTAAAAGATCTAATACTACTCTCATACCACAAAAATATGTGTTTTGCAGCAACAAACAAAAATATGTCTTATTACAACTTCTGTCCGTGTGGTGACGGATTAAGAATACGTGTTGTCACCATACCCTATGCAAATGGAGCAAACTACGCAAGACAAAACAGCACTGCAAAGAGATGGAAAACTTGACACAAACCCTATACCAACCCCGTCTGGCCAGCGTGTTATAGTAGGCCAAAACCTCCTCCGCGGGGGTTGTCCGGTCTATGGCGCTGTATGGTGCACCGGTGTGGGTAGCGGCTCTGACCGCCCCGAATAGGGCGCGCCTCTGGCGCCCCCAGAGGATATTGGCGGTCAGAGCCATACGCGGATACCGCACGGTGTCCACCGAGGCGGCCTGCGCCTTGGCCGGAACACCCCCGTGGGATTTGGAGGCGGAGGTGCTCGCCGAAGTGTATCGGCGAGTGGCTGACTTCCGGGCGGAGAGCGGATTTCGCCCTCCGCCCGAAGACGTGCGCGGGTGGCGCGAAGCCGCTCGCCGAGCCACCATTGTGAGATGGTCGTTCCGGCTGGAGACTCCACGCGCTAGCTTCGCCGCCGTGGAGGCCCTCCAGCCGGTCATCGCCGAGTGGGCAGGGTGGCAGCACGGGACCCTTACCTTCCGGCTGACGCAGGTGCTTTCCGGGCACGGTTGCTTCGGAAAGTACCTGTACTCGGTCGCTAGGAGGGAATCCAGTCCCGCCTGCCACCACTGCGACTGCAGTGAGGACTCGGCCCAGCACACGCTGGCGGTCTGCCCCGCATGGGCGACGCAGCGCCGGGCCCTCATTGCAGTCATCGGAGCAGATCTCTCGCTACCGGCCGTAATTCGCTCCATGGCTGGTGGCGACAGTTGTTTTACCGCGGTCGCAACCTTCTGCGAGGAGGTAATCTCGCAGAAGGAGGCGGCGAAAAAGGCCCGGGAGGACGACCTCCACTCGGACCTGATCCGCCGCCGGCGAACCGGGCGGCGGAGGTGCGCTCACCTGCGCCTCATGCCGCCCTGAGTGTGGCCGCGGGTGGACGGGATGGGTTCTCCCCTCCACCCGCATTAGTTGGCCAGCCGCGAGGGGGCGGCGTCCGCGTGTGCCGGACGTCGCCTAAAGAGAGGTAAACATTTTGAGACGGAGCCCGCACCAGGAGCGGGCCGGCGCTGGTAGGGGTCCAGAAGGCGATAACTACCTGGACCCCTCCTAAACTGGAAGCGCAAAGAGGGCACACCGTGTGGTTTTAGTCGGTTCGAGTCCGACACACCGTCCCGCCGAACGAGAACCCCGGCGGGGTGACGTTACCACACGTTAAAAAAAAAAAAAAAGGCCAAAACCTCCTTGCTAAGGAGAGGTCTATGTCCAGCAGTGGAATATTAAAAGCTGTTGATGATGATGGTAAAACTTCTGTCAATGATTAAATAATCGATATTTTTAAAGAAGTAATACCATATAATTAATTTAAGTAATACCAGTAATATTTTTTGGTACGCTCTGTAGTCTTAACAGCTTGCTAGATTTTGCCGTTTGAGATATCGTTTTATTCTTCTTAATTGTGATTGATCTTAATTGAATTGTGATAAATGTTTTGACTGGATACCAATAGATATCAAAATTTAATACAAACTTATTAGATAATAACAAGATAAAAGAAGTTTAGTGTTACTAATATGTAACTCCATCTTATACATTATTCGTTAGACAAAGGAATTGTAACTAAGCACTTGCAAACTAAATAACACTCGAGACGTTACGCTACGTTTACCTTATGATACGCGTACGACATTTGTGTTTGATGACAAAATTTATGTAAATTCACATGTAGGTCGTAGTCTTTCGCGGTGAGGATTTTAAGGGCTCACGTTCTCTACCTATTTTAAGGGTATTTATCCGACTGCACCCGAAGTAGGCTTATGTTTTATGAATATTGGCGTTGAAGTCGTTAAATTTGTTTGTGATTAGGTGAATAAAAATTAAAATGGTCGGTTTGTCAATTTTAAGTGTACATTTTTAAAACTGACTGGTTTTTTGTTATCTTTTTCAATAATTAGCTTGTTTACTATTACGACTATACTTGCCCTTGGTTTCACATGCGTGTGGTTACTGTCCCATTTCCAAGGTCCGTAACTTAAAGTAACGTAGCTAATTAAAGGTATTAGCTATGTTACTTTAAGTTACGGACCTTTGAAATGGGACAGTACAACATCTAGCGGCGGTTGTTTTACAGATTAGCAAGTTTAAACAAACAATCAAACCAATATACAATACAAATAAATACAATCAATAAAAGCTTCGCCTAGTGCAGCTTTCGTTGCTAGATTAATAACATGAAATTATAAAAACTGGACTGCTAATTAATATTATGATTATTAAAAAACTCTGAAGATGCTCTATTGAATTAGTTAAAGTTTATATTATTAGTGTAATTGGAGAGGCCTATGTCTAGCAGTAGACTGCGATAGGCTAATGATGATGATGGTTGGTATGGATGAAAGGAAAGAGATTTCAAATTTAGAGAATAAAATCGTATTATTTGTTTAGAGCGCTGTGCCCTAGGTGTAACGAACAGAATACTCGTAAATTATTATTAATCCCTTAATACGGCAATTAGTGATTACCTCTTTATACTAATATTCTATTACACGAGTAGTATCTTCGTAATAGGATGATTGTGTGTACAACTGAAGTTTCTACTCCATTGAGACTAGTACTTACTTTCATCAGCGAATTCCCTCGCGTTTATTTTTGACTTAATAATTTGAGTTTTGTTCACAGGTAGCGCTACCTTCGTAAATCCGTACGTGAGCGAAGATCGAGTAGACCTCAACCAAGTATGGGTGGAGATACCTTCAACCCTCGTAGCATTGGGAGGAGACGTGCATATTGGGGTTCACGGGGCTTCAGGCACCGGCCTGCGAGTTCGCCTCGCCCGAGAAGACGACGATGGCCGGGCACTCCTTGCCACCATGCCTTTAGCGCTTGATTTTGAACATCGCATGACCATACCTTGTGGTTACTTTTCCCGTGGAGGGACCTATTACTTAGAATTAGTCTCTGATAAGGACACTTATCTACCAGATTATGATAATACCACAGAGTTGGCAAAACGTGAAATAGACACAAAGGTTAAAAGAGAAGTTGGTGATGGCAGTTTAATGGAAACTGGTGATAGTGTAGTAAAATCCTGGAAGTTTGATGTGTTGTGGCCGACGGCAACTTTGGATGTGACTCCAGAGCAGATAAAAACGTATCCTGAAAGGCAGGTGATGGCTATCCTGGAGTTTCCACGCGTGGTGTGCACGCCAGTGAATTCTAATGCTGATTTCTGGCTAGAATTGCTGTATTGTGGTCATTCAAGTGGAGGGGCTGTATTGTGTGATGGAAAAAACACCAGCTCGCATGCTCACGTTTTATATTCTGAACAGGTAAGACTTAACAATAAAAATAACTTTTAGTTTAAGCATCGACTTTGTCTGGAATTTGGTATTGTTTGTCGGCTCCGATTTCTGCATTTAGACTCGAAAGTGCTCCTTTATGCGTCTAGAAGAGGTTGGCTAGGTGAGCCAACCGAGCTCCTTTCAGAAGAGCAGAAGCTTCCTGGGCCGTTCACAGGCTTCTAGGAGCGATTTTGTGCCAGGTATGGTACTTGCCCGTTGTGTGGCCCCTCCCTCGCATTCCAGGATTACATGGGCGGCCGTTTCTTCTGCTTTCAGGCATCCTCTGTAAAGGGGACTGTCCGTCGCATTAATGATGAATAGTTGTCAGTTCAGGGCTAGGTGTCCTGTTATGGTTCCTGCAACTATTCGGATATCTAGTGTGCTAAGACCGATCAGTCTGCAAGTAAGTCGTGGTGGGACTTCAGTCAGCAGCAGTTTGGACTGTCTGGTGCGGAGTTGAAAAACTCGGCAGCAGACAGTTCGGTTCGATTTGGTTATGCGCTTCACGAGTATGCTGTCTGACTTAGTCTGGACAAATTTATAATTCTATTTAAGTCAAGTAAAAAATTTACTTGTAGTTACGGTGTTATTATGATATCAACATCTACCTACATTTATTTTAATTTTCATTCGACATCTCACTGTTTACTCCCTTTCAAGCCATATCCTCAGTCACACAGTCCGTCCACCTTTTCCTCGGTCTTCCTGGTCTCTTATACCCTTCAACTCCCATATCTAACACTTTCTTCGCCACATTATCCTCATCAGTCCATATCACCCATAACATCCATAACTTCTTAACTTTTCCTCCTTAATCGAATATACTCATTCCTGACCTCGTCCATCCGAGTCACGCCATACATCACCGTACGTTCAGGCGTCTCTCATGCGTTCTCTTCAAGGGCCAACTTTCAGAACCATACAGGTAGGCAGGTCTGATGATAGTTTTATAAATTTGTCTTTTTAGTTTTAATGGGAAACTGAGTTCACAAATTGTTCCCGTTACATAGTAGGAGGGACCCGAGATAGTTGAAATTGGAGCAGGCTGGTATCGCTATCCCATCCAGGGAAATGGTTTTAGTTCTGCTGATTTTCTAGACAACATTCTGTTGCTATTTGTCCAGTATGCTCTGGACCTCAGCCCTGTATTAACCGACCAACACAATGTCATCTGCTAACAGCATGCGAAAATGTGCCATATTCGAATGAAATTAATTCTTAGACCTGTACAAAACTAAACAAAGTATAAATCAACAAATTACTGTGTGCAAAGGACACCTCAGTTCTATAAACAAATTTGTTCATAATTAATTTATATTGGACTAAAAAAGCACCTTCAAACACCTTCCTTAAAGTTATGATCAAAATTAATTTACATAGGGACCAAAATCATATACTAATACACTATGGCAAGTGTTCAAAAACTTTTGATATAAATTACCATCCATCTAAGTTCTTTTTTGGCACTCGAGCAAATTTCTGCAAAGAGGCCAATCGATGCCCATAATCTCGCAACCTCATTTCTCGAATACCCTAAATACAGTTCTGTTCTATTTTCTAGATACATGGATTTCCCGGTCGTAACACAATGACCCTGCGTTGTGAACTGTTCGGTCAAGCTGGGGACTATGCGCTTACACTAAGGCCAGCCGCTGCAGCTGGGCCTCAAGACCTTGCTACTGCTTTCATCAAGGTAAGTAACTTTTTATAGCTCTTAAGGTAGGAGTTTGCTTGTTATATTTAAGTATTAATATATTATTTGTTTAGTTTGCGGTTTCGGTCCCAATAACGTAGCATCCCTTTGGGTTTTTCGCAGTTAATAATTGCATATTCATCATCCGCTACTCCCAATAACGGATACGCAAAATTTGAATTCTGCAAAATATAATAATCGATCTGAGAGTTTAGACAAAGAACATGAATGTGATAAAGAGCAAAGGTTAATAGTACTTCTTTAACTTTTTTATTATATTGATCAATTTTCAAAAGAATGTTTATAAATTGATTGAGACAATGAACCACTATACCTGTACGATAGTAAGCGGTTTCCAGAAGGGCGATTCTAATTTGTATAGAAACACTTATACTTTGATTTATAAACATATAAAGTACAATCATCAGTAAGCAAGAAGTTATGGTTGATTAGAAAAATTATAGGCGTTATAATTTATATAAAGTGTACTAATTCTTTTGATAACTTCAGGCCGTTTCTTTCAAGTTACGTACAATTTATTTTCCTCTATCCTTCCAATAAATCTTATTTTATTACGGTAAACAATGTTAATTAAAATTTTTCAAAGCCAAATTAGGTGAAATGAAAGAAAATTTATCTGGTGTTGTGGGAACAGCGTGTTTACGACACGTTCAAAATTTAAGAGGCACACCGTAATCAAAATGAAACCTCGGTTGACAGCAATTCTCATAAAACGCCTTTTTTAAATTAGAATCTCTATAAATATTTACGTACGCTGTAAGTCAACCTGGTGTCATTTTGTAACGTGGACTATCTCTTTTTCAGAGTTATGTAAGATTTTTACGAAGAGAAAAATAGCAATATAAAGCAAAAGGTGTTTTTTTATTTACGCCAGTTTATAGTTTATTTACACACGCACGCCTTTTTATCCCTTCTTTTAGGAAATGAAATTGTGTCTGAAAAAGAAAACTGGTTGAATAAGGGGCTTGTTCAACATAGATATGGCTAGAGACATAATCTATTGATGACAATAGACTATATGAAAAACCATTTTTGTTTTTGCTATAGTTCAGAAAAAGCAAATTAACACCGTAAGGCTAGAAACCAACTAAAAGCTATACAACGGCATTAGTTTGAATTGGATTAATTTAAATTAGAATCAAATAGTTTTTATTTTTTTATTGTAATTTAATTATATAATATATCGTACATCTGACACACAACGCCATCTAGTTTCAAACTAAGCAGAGCTTGTACTATGAAAACTAGATTGACTGATAGAATACTTAGATACTTTTTTTTGTTGTAAATATATTCATATTATACATATAAAACACCCAAACTCTCAAACAAATATTTGTAGATCATACAAACATTTGGTCATCCCGGGATTTGAACCCGAGACCCCAGCACAGCAGTCGTATATGCTACTACTGGACCACCGAGGCAGTTATTGATCTTCAGAGACACACTTATTTTATTATTTATTAAATGTTTAGGAAGTGTACTTGTGTGTTCATACATTATTTACTTTAAATTGGCAAATTACTGTAATGGATGACTTAGTAAAGGTTATCACATATACTCATTTATAACGTATTGAAATACCTATATTAGATTATTGACTAAATTAAACCCGACTACGCTCCTGTGGCTGAGTGAAATTTCATATTTGTTGCTTTGACAGTTGCTACGGCAACCAATACTATATCAATACTATATATTAAAACGTAACTACAACATATTATAAGTCAATCTAAAATTAATAGAATGTAGTATAGCGTGTCTGATGTGATCCTGTAATTTTGCGATAATGAAGAATTAGTTTCGAGAATTTAAATACTTTTACATTGACGAAGCAATCTCTGTCCCTCTGTCCCTCTGCCCCTCACTCTCGCAACCTCTCAAAAGGAATAAACTTTATCGGTTTTTGCAACATAATTTTACATAGCCTATATCCTTCCTCAATATCAAACAATCAAATCAATCAACAGCCTATAATAGTCCACTGCTGGACATACGCCTCTCCTTAGAAATATAGGGCTATTTAATACTAAAAAAAAAATCAATTTAATCTACTGCGTTCAACCAAACAACCAAATTCTTTGGCTTTCAAATAGTAGTGTAGATATTAATTGCACTTAAAAATAGATAATTGACGAACTAAAAAAATACAAACATTGTAAGTTACTAACGCTAATTAGTTGACAAGGTTGTAAATGGCACTTCTGTCATATGCTCTGCAACTAGAATAGATTTAATTGTGTATTTCACAGAGACTAAGTACCCCTTCTGTTTTGCGATGTCTCCACTCACGGTTATAATTGCAACATGCATATTTTGTTCATCTACACTATGAAACCGTCATATTTAACACTACTCATTTTCTTAAATGTCAGTATGTAATGACTGGATGATATCGCTACATAACTTTTGTAATATGTAACAAGCTATCAAAACCAAGCTTCTGCAGTTATAGGCCGGCTTGACCAAAATTTCAACACTGAGTGAAATTAGTGGGAGGAGCATCGGTACGCCGGGGTTACACTCGAAGGTCGGTGTGTAGGAACAGGTGTCATTTCCCTTCAATACAAGGGGAGGATCCTGCGACCAGGCGAGGCGAGGTGATTATGCCTGTTTGGCCGCAGCAGAACGAATGATGTTGGGAAGTTGCATAGATGCTAAACGGCTTTAAAATTCTTCATATCGCGATACATGATTTTGTAGGTTTCTTTGTTTATGAGAAACTTGCCACAGTCGGTAACTAACTGGTAGCTCTTGAGTTGCAACACAGTTGCGACGCAGGCGGCTGTAATCACAAGTGGCCGTACAGAATTCTAATTTGGGAGAAATAAATGTTTAATATCATGTTAAGATAAAAGTTTTATCCTCACCATAAATAGCCTATTTTACAAAATGAGAGAAATACAAAAACATAATTTACATATTTCACAAGTTACAATGATGTCCATGGAGAGCTGTAATTCAAGACTTACAAGTTTGTTGGCAGCCTTTGAATGACACGACTTTAGCCATGAAAGTATTTTATGTATTATAGAACTTGACAAATGTCTGGTCACTGCAGTATACGGTTTATATTGCAAGAATAGAGAGTTTACAGAAGAGGTTCCTAAGATTCTTTAACTTTAAATGTAAGAAGCGCCATGATTCCTACCCCGTTGACAGTAAACACTATCACCTGCTTTCCCTCAATGCAAGGCCTATGATGCTAGATATTGTTGCGCCATTGGATTAAATGGTTTGATTGTATGAAATGTGGAGGACAGCACCATCTAGTATCGACTAAAGTACATCTATTAAGATTGTGGTTAATACGAGTAGTTCTGATCCTTACATCCTCCTAGATGGCGCTGCAAGTAACGCGTGACTGATTCTGGAAAATTCGTGTTTGTTTGGCACGGACTGTTGAATACTAGGAACTTTCTAGTAAAATTTAAAAGCGCAATAAAAGCCTAGCGTGTTGGCCGTTCGAGACAGTTTCGTTTTACGACACAACGAATTAACATCGTAGTGAATTTCTAGTGCGACTAACAAGATATATAGTAATTGAGTGTTTGTAAAAACAGTGAAATAAAGTAAAAACTGACAACTTTTATTTATTATATACCCCTCTCGTAACAATATGTTGCTACTTTTTGATATTCTGCGTGGTGGACTTGACTGTTGTGAGCCACTTTCAGCTGTCGGATTTAGTACGCGGAAATCATGGACTAGACATATGCATTTGTTTAACGTACCTTACATCGCACCAATTATAGTAGAAATATTGTTATGGTTCGGCTAGTTCCGCTAGTTGTCGTCGGCTAGTTCGAACCTACACTGAGAGATCCGAAAGTATAGACATATTTATGTTATCAAAGAAATCCTATCGCGGCAAAATCGTGAAGATACTCATCGGTAATTAAGTATTTGGTTTAAAATTTCTTTTTGTTTAAGTTTAGTAATGTGTGTAATGTTTTTTTTTCCGTTTATTTTTTCTTTTCGTGAAGATTTTTTCTTTTAGCTATCTAATTCTTCGTTAAAGTGCCAAAAAATGTCATGAAACTCTGTAATTAGCTTAAGCAGACTGTGTAAGTATCACACAAATCATGTGTGTAATGTAAACAAGCTGTTAAGATTCTTATTGTGGAGCGTGATATTCTGGAATCGAACCTACACTAGTGAAGTGAGTTAGGCTGGAATAGAACTCGCACTAGCGAAGCGAAATAGATTGGAAACGAACCTGCACCAGTCCCAGTGTCGTTGAACGTCTTAACCACTCGACTATTAATGAGTTGGTTATCCTAAATTACTGTAAGCGAAGCGGATAATACTTGCTCAACTACTAGTAATTAAAGATGCCCGAGCAACTAAACAAACAAATAGACAAATGCCAACTGCGAGGGGACTACGGTTGATACATTATCTGTTTTCGTATTTTAAAAAATGCTTCAAAGTCTATTGAAATTATATATAAATTCTATTATTATACTCTTATTTGGTACTGAGCATTTTAAATAATAATCAGCCAACCGTTTTCAAAAGAATTACGAATGCTCTTCAGTTTGGTATTCCTTGTTTTTGGTTTAAAGAACCGTAAACGTCTTTGTACTGCAAAAGTTAAGAATCGTTTGATACATGAATCGTACTGAGAGTTTCTGGATCTGTCCACTTATAATAAATAAAGTTATTTACGAATTCGTAAACGGAACTCTTTCGGAATATGCTGATTTTAAATTTTGAGACTGTCATTTATTGTAAAAAGATTTGGTCAATGATTTGTTACGACTATTGACGTGGGTAGAGACTACATTCGGTGATGAAGTTCCATTTCGCAGCTCGGTGTATTTGTATATTGGAGAATGGAAAATGGTTCTAGCGACGTTCGTAGAAAATAGAAACGTGTAAGATCTAAGTATTACATTTTAGTTTAGTTTTTTTTTTTGAAAAGACAACTCACGCATTAAGAATATATATCCTGGGCGGGGGCGGGGGGGGGAAGGGTTGGGACTTTACAAACATACATGATACGGACACAAAGAACACCCAGACTCATAACAACAATTTGTGGATCACACAATGTGGTGTCCCATGGCGACCGCTTGAACTCCAGCGACGTCAAAACTGCATAAGGATATCATAAGGCTTCTAGTATATCTAGTCACATAACCACAAAGCTATTATAACAAATATTTCTGTACCAAATTGCACCATGAACCAGAATAATGTAATAAACCCCCCTCATGGTGGTTTAACCGTGAGAGGAAACTAAAACCACTACGCCATCCGTGCAGTTTGTTTATATGTTCGCATAATAAGATGAGTTGATGAAAAGGCATAATACTACACAAAGGTTTTTCCATAAACTCGATATTACAGTATACATAAAACTTTATGTGCAATAAATGGCGCTGTTTTAAGTACTGTGAATCATTGTTTTATGCCGACAACATTTTTATGTTAAGAATAATTTGAGGGAATGTTATTATGGAAATCCGTTGATTTATTGACGAGTTTTAAAACATATTGAAAGCTATTTCAAAGGCTTTTGTAATATGAACACGAAACCCTTATAGTTTCGCCATGTCCGTATACTAGTCCTTATTTCTGTCCGTGGTTTGACCTAGATACTGTTAACAATTATAATAATGATAACCTCGCATACCGCACCTACAGCCTATTCTGTACTACAGTCACCAGACTGCTTATAAACTAACTTATATTTACTTACATATTGTAGACTAGCTGACCCGCGCAACTTCGTCTGCGTCTCTCAATAGTAATAAATTTTCTCCGTTTTTGAAACATTCTTCATTGGTGCTCCGCTCCTATTGGTCTTAGCGTGATGATATATAGCCTATAGCCTTCCTCGATAAATGGGCTATCTAACACTGAAAGAATTTTTCAATTCGGACCGGTAGTTCCTGAGATTAGCGCGTTCAAACAAACAAACAAACAAACAAACTTTTCAGCTTTATAATATTAGTATAGATAAATTACATCCAGACTTAAAACAAATGATCATCAGTAAAAAAAAATTCCTAGATGAATCGTCATTGACGTCAGAGTCAAAACACAACAGATCAAAGGGCCCGTCAAAAAACTTCGGAGTTTAGACTCCGTGAACCGCCAGCAAGATACTGAAATCTAGTAAAAAAAAAATTTTGATTCAGGTTTCCACCAAAATATTTACAAGCTAAATAGTTGCGTAAAAAGTCTGGAAATGGAATTCATGATGATATAGTGTATTTAACTGATTAGTTTGGGAGTCATTTTCGTAAAAAAGTCTACGTTAAGGTTGTAGTGTTAATTAGGAAATGAATAATAAATACAGTTAATACTCAAATATCTTTTTTTTTAAATATATTTTTTGATGGAAAGTTACCATCGCCGCCTATGAACGTCTGCAACTCAGGAGTCACAAACGCGTTGCCGGCCTTGTAGGAAGGAGTACGCTCTTTTCTTGAAGGTTTGAAGGTCGTATCGATCCGGAAATACCGTAGACGATAACCCGTTCCACAGATTGGTTGTGCGGGGCAAAAAGTGTCTTGAAAAGCGCTCAGTAGTGAAACGCTGTGAGGATGAAAATTTTGTAGTATATATCATATCTTGTGTAGACTCTAAAGTCATAGATACCAACAATCTCTGTTTTGTCAAATATTTAGTAAACTAAATATAAACGTATCAAAAATTGGTTGCCTGTAAAGTCGGTATACGGGCGAAAGTTTTACGTGACAACGACTTTGAGTGGTAAAATAATTTAAATGTGAAGATTCATTCGTATAGTAGGAAGAAGGATGAAATAATAGTAACAATTTAAAACATTTATTTATACAAAGAATTATATTTAAAAAAACATTAATTTATACACTCTCTCGCTCTTAGGCGGGCTAACTGTGCTCGAGTGGAAGGGACGCGTGCCTTTCACTTTTTATGTCTGTCTCTCTCGCTCTTAGGCGGGCTAACCATGCCCGAGTGGAAGGGACGCGTGCCTCTCACTCGCTCTCATTGTGAGCGCATAACGTGAGCGGAGCGTAACGCAGTTTCTTGAAGTGTCACCCGGCAAACCAATTTATAAGACGTTGTCACGTCAAAATCTCTTATAATAGATATTTATCATAGCTTAAGCCTTTTAAATTGTCTTTGGAGTACATATTTCGTAAGCATTTCTTAAAAAAAAAAACAAATTAAATTCACGATTTATATCTTAACAGGCAAAAGTGACTACTTTTATTTTCTAAAAGTAGAAAATAACAAAACGAACGGAAGTAACTAAGTTTTTGGACGTCCTTTATCTAAAAAGATCCAATACTCAAGATAAGAAAACGGGTGAACAGGAAAAAAGCTAATAGGTTCGCAAAAATAAATAAATAAATACTTATACCTATTATTTACTTATTACGTATATATTCATTTTTCAGACATTTTTATGGCAAGAGTGCATTCGTTTGTAATTGGATTAAACTTAAGCGAACCATCACTTTAATTATTTCTATGAAAATTTTCTATAATGAACTAAAACTTATCAGGTAGTCATTATTTTCGAACCATTAATTCAACGAACAGACCCATTAGCAAAAGGAATCACTTTGTTCTACCAACGTAGGACGATAATAAAACCTATTTCAAGAGCTTGAATGCCAGAGGTATTTTATGAACTTCAATTAATTCAGTTTGAGTTTTTGTTTTTTTTTTTTTTAATTAACCATTTAATGGCTTCTCCTGTACTCTGAGAAATAAAAATAATGATAGCCTCACGGTTCACACGCGGTCGTCTGATCTCAATCTAGGCAGAGTCTGTACAAACACAAAACTTTAAGTTCATCATCAGCCTTTAATAGTCCACTGCTGGACATAGGCCTCTCCTTAGAAAGGAGGTTTTGGTCTACTTAAAACTAAAAAGTTTAAGTTGTAAATCACTAATCTACAATAGCGAGGCGACGGAGCTACAGCAAAAAAATACTAAAACTGGTCCAGTCCAGTAGTATCCAGTATATGGGTGGTTCCTATCAGCTTTAATAAATACCTATTGTAAAATATTATCATTCTCCTACAGGCAGACTGGTCCGAGCAATTCGTGCTGAATGTGCACGGCGGCTCCGTGTTCCCTTGCGGTGATGGCGTCAGGGTGCTGTTCCAATACCCGGAGTGTGTGTTGGAGGGAGCTGACAGAGTCAGGGTGTTCGGACGAGACGCTGATCGACTGAGATATGTCGCAGAGAGAAGAGTGCGCCGGTGAGTATTTTAGCTCATAGAAATCTCCTAGAACAATAATATTATGAAAATACTTATTAGTAGTGAAGTATTATTAATAATTCAGCCAAACTGGTCTACTACACTGTGTCCTATGACAAAATCTTTATGATCAAATTCGGGTTCTCCAATCATAACAGAAAGAGAAATCTATAGCAAAGTTCCCCATTGGCAGATACTGCGCGTAGGACAACATCATAACTATTTATTATCGTATGGCCCTTTTATGCAAGCGGCTTGTTTAATTTATAGAGAAAGATTAACAGATAGAGAGAGATGGAGTTTTTTTTTTAAATATCTGGGGCACTTATAAACATACATGAAATGGACACAAAGAATACCCAGACTCAGACCAACAATTTGTGGATCACACAAAGTGCTGTCTCATTTGGGGATCGAGCCCACAACACTTAACGCAGTAGGAAGCGACGATCGCTTAAATCACTACGCCATCCGTGTAGTCAAATTTCTAAGGAAATTTGTGAAAAGAGACGAAGCGAAAAACATATTTAAGAAAACCGTAAATCTTGAATAAACGTGAATACTTATTTCCCTATTTATATAATTTATCTTATGTGTCGCTTTATTTGTCCGTGTGGTGACGGATTAAGAATACAGAGTGTCACCACCCCTATTCATCCCGTGGGCGTCGTAAGAGCCGACTAAGGGAGAAAACTACGCAGGACAACAACGCTGCAGAGAGAAGGAAAACTTGAAACAAACCCTATACCAACCCGTCTGGCCAGCGTGGTATTGTAGGCCAAAACCTCCTTTCTAAGGGGAAGCCTATGTCCAGCAGTGGACTATTAAAGGCTGTTGATGATGATGATGATAATGATATAATTTATAATACTACAATATAATTTAAAAACGCGATTAATTATCCTTTTAATGATATATTAGTCGTGTATTCACAAAATTTGCATACGATTTCATTAAATGATGCCAGTGAATTATAGGTAGGCATAATGTTTTAATAATCAAACATGGTAATGCGTTAATGTAACCCGGACTACGCGGTGAAGATGATGAGAATGCCCCTGCATTTTATTTTATTATAGCGGTAAGTGTAAATTTCGAAAAAGTCAGGACGTGTTGAATAGAAAGATTTTAAAGGTATGACAAATAGAAAGTATTTTCAATAGACTAACTTTCTTAGCTTTTTGTGGATTTCCGTAACATTAACAAAATCTTGAAATAGCCCTAGCGCTAAGGAGAGAACTTTAGACATGACTCAAACAACTGAAGTTAAACGGTGAATATATAAATTTTGGAAAAAGTAACATATCTATATAAATAAAAATGAATCTTAATAAATATCTATATAAAAGAAAATTTAGAAAATATTCATGAGACCAAAAGTATGGCGGTACGAAGTTCGCCGGGCCAACTAGTTTTTAACAAATATTACATACACGTCATACCTATTACATGGGCTGAAAAGTCCCGGGCCTAACACATATATGGCGCTAGTTTTATTGCAGTCACCTTTTTTTCAGTTAATACTAACCTTCAAAAGACAGCTGTTAGAATTTCATGATATTCTATTCATTAGTTTGTGAGTTATTGTGCTAAGAGTGACGCTGACTACTTTTGTTATTTTCAAAACATTGGATCAAAAACAATTTCGTGTTTTAATTTTACACTGCTTCTTGATGGGAAAAAATACCGTTCAAGCGAAGCAATGGCTTGAAAAGTGTTATGGGGACTCCGCTCCATCAGAAAGAACAATAAAACGTTGGTTTGCTGACTTCAAACGTGGTCGTAGAGACACCGATGATGCAGAACGCAGTGGATGTCCAAATGAGGCGGTAACACCAGAAAACATAAAAAAAGCCACAAAATCGTTTTGAATGATCGAAAAGTGAAGTTGCGTGAGTTAGCTGACATCGTAAAGATATCAAAAGAACGCGGTGGCTTTATATTGCATGAGCATTTGACTATGAGAAAGCTCTGTTCAAAGTGGGTGCCGCGTTTATTCACTGTTGACCAAAAACGAGAACGTGTTGATGATTCTGAGCTGTGTTTGGCCATTAAACGTAACAAACCGGATTTTTTGCCTTGATATGTGACAATGGATGAAAAATGGATCCATCACTTCACTCCACTCAAAACGATCGTCATCTGAGTGGACAGCAACTGTTGAACCTCGTCCAAAGCGCCCGAAAGCACAACAATCGGCTGGAAAGGTTATGGCCTCCATATTTTGGGATGTGCGTGGTGCAGTATTCATCGACTATCTTGAGAAAGGAAATACCATTAACAGTGAATGTTATATAGCGTTATTGGAGCATTGCAATTAACGGCCTTCAAACGAAGGCCGAAATTGCAATGAAACGACCGCATATGGCAAAGAAAAAAAAATTGTATCATCAAGACAACGCACCGTCACAAGTCAATCAAAACAATGGCAAAACTACATGAATTGAACTTCGAATAGCTCCCACATCTACCGTATTCGCCAGATTTGGCTCCCAGCGACTATTGGCTGTCCGCAGACCTGAAAAAAATGCTCGCCGGTAAGAAATTTTGCACGAATGAAGAGGTTATCGCTGAAACTGAGGCCTATTTTGAGGCAAAAGATAAATCGTTCTACAAAAGTGGTATTGAAATGTTAGAGCGGCGCTGGAATGATTGCGTTGCTCTTGGTGGAGATTACGTTGATGATTAAAGCTATTTTTGAACCAAAAATACTGTGTTTTCTTGGTTAAGCCCGGGACTTTTCAGCCCATGTTATTTGTACTTCATCTCACCAATTTCACTCATTGTTTTCTAATGAGATGTCTAATAATGTCTAAATTCCACAATTAACGTGATCAATGGGTATTAAGATGAATGTTATATTATGACCATACCCTGTTCGAAACGTCAGAAAATTCAAAAGAACTAATAATTATGTTTATGGAACACAAAAGTCAGAAATTGACAATTTCCATCTTCGTCAGCACTGAAATTGGCAATGGTTTTTGCAGAAAAGCGATTTACAGTTTTTCTGCAAAAACCATTCTGAGGTTGCAAGTCTAGCTTGGCTTTACATCCGTTATCTTTTTATAAATTAATTGGTAATTGACTGCACAGATGGCGTAGTGGTTTAAGCGGTCGCCACGCCGCTTCCTACTACGCCGAGTGTTGTGGGTTCAAACCCCACATGGGACGACACTTTGTGTGATCCACAAATTGTTGTTCTGAGTCTGGGTGTTCTTTGTGTCCGTTTCATGTATGTTTGTAAAGTCCCCCGCGACACAGGATTTATTCCTAATGCGGGAGTTGTCTTTTTAAAGAAAAAAAAAAAAAAAAAAAAAAAAAAAAAAAAAATTATTACCGTTCCTAAAATATAGTTATCATTTCTTGATGCTACATAGATTCAGATCAAGGTACGATTATGGTGTTTAGATCCGTCATGGGGGATAAGATGAAGAGTATTCACATCCTGGTGAATTTCACTGTGAGGATCTCGTGATGGTTGGTAGCGAATTTTCATGTTGGAGGCGTTTAATTTAAACAAATTAAACTTCACAGATGATATAGTGATTTAATTAATACCAATTATTATACTCATATAATTGTGCTATTACACTGTATAATCTCGACTCTAAATACCCAATATTGTGACTATAATAATCCTTAATTAATATGTTACCAAGTGCGTTAAAGCTCAAAATGGGTCCGTGACTGAATAGATGGTTAATTTGGCTATTAGAATCAATCTATTAGAATTTCTAGCACAAATTATGTCGGATTAATAGATTAGAATACTTAAGCGTATTAGAATTTAAGTTTGGTGCTATGTTTTTTTAGATAATTAAAATTAAATTACGTATCTAAATTATTGTTAGAGTTATCATTATCTTGATGCTACATAGATTCAGATCAAGGTACGGTTATGGTGTTCAGATCCATCATGGAGGATAAGATGGAGAGTCTTCACATCCTGGTGAATTTCACTGCGAGGATCTCGTAATGGGTTTTTTGTTAGATGCGTTTAATTAAAAAAAAATAGACTGCAAAGATGATATAGTGCTTTAAGCGGTTACCCCGCCGCTTCCGACTGCCCTATTGTTATGGGTTCGATCTCACATAGGACAATAAGTTTATGTGATCAATAAATTGTGGTTTTGAAACCGGGTGTTCCTGGTGTTTGGTATATTCCTAGAGCAGGAGTTGTCTTTTAAAGAGAAATAATAAAATAATGTAAACAAATTGTATCCCTTCAAGAATACTAAATACTGTAGCATTTTGCTTTGTTTGTTAATATTTGTGTGAGTATGGTATTTATTTAATTTTTTGCGACTATTCAAAGGCGCCTAGAATTTCTCATTATTAAGCATGAAGCGTGCTTATTAGTTTAAAAAGGGTATAAGAATGTAAACGTATATTATTTATTGTAGTGTTTTGTGTTTATTTATTATGCTATGAAGAAGACGTCGTTTAAAATATGTCCTAGAATATGTGTGCTATTCGTGGAAGTACAAAAGGAACCGTCAGTATTATTCCAAAGCCTGTTTCAAACTGTTAAAATGAAATTCAATTTTAGGGTACCTAGAATTGCACCAAGGACTTCCTTTCTAGGGTATACCTGGTTCCCCGGCTATTAGTACCCGAGACGGCGTGCGGTTTTAGTCGGTTCGAGTCCGAGGCGGTATCCGAGGGGAATTCCGCACGGAAAAAAAAAAGGGTACCTAGAATTGTATGAATAGACATCAGGTTTCTCTTCACCGCGTAGTCCGGGTTACATAAACGCATTACCATGTTTTATTCTTAAAACAGTCTGCCTACCTATAATTCACTGGCATCATTTAATGAAATCGTATGTGAATTTTGTGAATACACGCCTAATATATCATTTAAAGGATAATTAATCGCGTTTTTTAATTATATTGTAGGATTATAAATAATATAGATAGATAGGTAGATAGGTATTCACGTTTACTCAAGATTTACGCTTTTCTTAAATATGTTTTTCGCTTCGTCTCTTTTCACAA